AACAAGGCTGTCAGTAGGTGTTTTTCAAGCAGTCAACTGAGGAACTACAGTCAACTCCTTTCGAATCATGTCTTCATTTGATGATATTTACAAACAGTCAATATATGTATCCCTATGAAACCGGATTAGGTCTCCAGGGTTATCGGATCAGAAATGACATCATTCCGCTCTGAGCGTGCCCGGGAGTGCTGGGGAGAGTTAACAGATAACAGCTGAAGATCTGTGTGTGTGTGTGTGTGTGTGTGTGTGCAGCTGTTTGTGCAGAAAGCAGGCAGCAGAGTTGACCACATGAGGTTGGTTAAGAGTGTTATCACCCAGGCTTATTGAGTCTTAGTTTAGGTTCATTCAATTCCAAATGGGAAACACAGTAGGAATCTGTAGGCTGTTTGCCTCATGGGAAACTGCTGTGATTTCTGTGGACCAACTGCTGCTTTGTTTTATTGTTCAATCAAATCAAACCCAAACCCATGTCCTTTTTCTGTGTGTTAGATAGCCATGTCAAATTATCAAATCAAATCAAATTGTATTTGTCACATGCGCCGAATACAACAGGTGTACACTTTACCGTGAAATGCTTACTTACGAGACCTTTTCCAACAATGCAGAGTTAAAAAGTAGGAAAAATTGCTAAAAATGTAAAAGGAAATAGTAACACAATAAAATAATGAGACTATATACAAGGAGGTCAGCGCATGCTCTGAGTACGCGTCTTGGTAATCTGTCTGTGAATGTTAACCTGTTTAAAGGTCTTACTCACATCGGCTACGTAGAGCATGATCACACAGTCGTCCGGAACAGCTGGTGCTCTCATGCATGGTTCAGTGTTGCTAGCCTTGAAGCAAAATTAGAAGGCATTTAGCTTGTCTGGTTGGCTCGCGTCACTGGGCAGCTTGCGGCTGGGTTTCCCTTTGTAATCCGTGAAAATTTGCAAGACCTGCCACATCCGACAAGCGTCATAGCCGGTAGAGTAGGATTCGATCTTAGTCCTGTATTGAAGCTTAGCCTGTTTAATGGTTCGTTCAGAGGTCATAGCGGGATTTCTTATAAGCGTCCGGATGAGTATCCCACTCCTTAAAATTACTTTAGGAGAAGAAGAGTTTGTCACATCTAGACTTGTACTGTCAGGTATTGTAGGCCATTACTCTCTCTCTTAGATGTGGAATAGCCTAGTTACAAGCTATAGGAATTGTGGGTAATGTAGTGTTTTGTATACTATGTTTGAACTGACTACTCTGGGGTCTGTTCTTGTGCAGCTGCTGCATGGTCAAACTATGTGAACTAGTGGGCTGATTTCATCAAGGTTGCTTGTACTGTACTGTAGTGTGTGTGTGTGTGTGTGTCCTTTGTGATGTGTGCCCTTACATCAGCATAGCTGCTAAGAGGGGGAGTGTGGGGGAGAAGGGAAGAGAGGTAGAGGGGGAGGGGAAGAGAGGTAGAGAGGGGAGGGAATGAGAGGTAGATGGGAAGAGGGGGGGGGGAAGAAAGGTAGAGGGGGGAGGGAAAGAGAGGTAGGGTATAGAATGAGAGTAGGAGAGAAAGACAGGGGAATTACAAAAGAGAGACAGAGGGCAGAGAAACAGACATAGAAGTGAGAGAATGAGGCAGACAGAAAGAAAGAGAGAGAGAGAGAGAGAGAGAGAGAGAGAGAGAGAGAGAGAGAGAGAGAGCAAGAGGGAGGGGGAGACAGACAGACAGACAGACAGACAGACAGACAGACACAGAGAAGAGGGGCTGAGAGAGAAAGTAAGTGAGAGAGAAGGAACAAGAGAGAGAGAAAGAAAGCTAAAGCGATGTGTCAGCACCGAGCTCCGGAGAGGTGTAAGTAGGACGTGAGGAGACGTTCTACTCCTCCTCCCCCGCTCTCCTCTCCTCCCCCTCTTCCTCTTTTCTCAATGTGAAAAACCTGGCCTCTGTGAGTCTGATAATGAGCTATGAGAGGAGACTGCAGAACAACATCAATACAGCGGGAGAAATAATCCAGCCCCCCCACACACACACACTCCGGGGGCGCAACTTTTCTCAGCTGCCTCACAGGCACGACGGCCTCTGACTGCCTCTCTGCCCATTAGACCCAGTTACAGACTCAGAGTCTCAGACCCATTTACAACCCACAGCTAGTTAGTATTCTTTACTCACCGTCAGCTCACATTAAAATCCTGTGTACTGTGGATGGGCTGCTTCCTCTCAATGACAGAGTAATTGGGTAGCAACTCTGTCTTCATTTGAGTTAGCTTGAGTTTTTGCAGAGACAAAGTCGAAGAGTCTATAGGCTGGTCTCAGATCTCTGTGTGTGGCATTGGCAATAACCATAGGAGTTAGCGATACTGTACAAACACGTCTGGGACCATGTTACGGAGTCTATGAGTAGTGGTAGGTACTGGAATATAACCTATAGTTCAGGTTACAATTTTGGGTTAGATGTAAACTAGGTATGGACTGGGTTTGTGTGAATGGTTGTTTTTGGTGGTTCGGTAAGTGTAGCTTTAGATTGTGGTTGGCTGAACAGTATACCCCTCGGACCTCAATGGAACTTCTCACATACAGTATATACACCTCTCACTCCATACTGTCTCCCACCAGACTGAAACCAGATTAGGTTTAATTCATTATGGAAATGTTCGCCCACTGACTGTTCCCTTAAAGTAAAGATCTCTCATTTCAATTAATAAATATTCCATAGTAATTTAGAGAATAATGGTGTATGCATTTTAATAGTCATTAGTTTGTCTTTTTATATATATTTAGTTGATATGATAAATAGCCTTCTCTGTGTAGCTGTGTATACAAGTCATCATTTATGGAGCTTAGCAGCTGTTTCTAAATTAAAAGGTTTATGGTGGCTTATGAATAACACCCAGAGGTATTGCTGTAGAATCATTATCTCCTATAAAGTTATAGACGTATTATAATTCATTTCTGAGCCTTGTTGGTCATTATTTCACCTCCTACAGTCCCTGCAAAACCAACTTTTCAGGCTTACTGTAGTCTGTGTTACCTCACGTAGAACTTACTGTAGTCTGTGTTACCTCACGGAGGAATTTTGTTTTGTATCTGACTTGAATTGACTTAGCATAGCAGACCTTAATGTGTATAAAAGCGGTCAGAAAAGTGTGGATACAGTACGTTTCCAAGCCAAGTGTCTTCACATATTGAACTAGTCTCTACTACTCCCTCCCCTATCCCTGAAGTCATCCCTGAGACAGTGTGTTGATACAAGACAGCTGGGCTCTGTAAACCACTCCATGTGGACTGCTGCTCTGGTTTGCGTCTCAAACGGCACCATATTTTCTAAACAGTGCATAGGGCTCTGGTCAAAAGTAGTGCACTATAATAAATAGGGTGCCATTTGGGATGCATCCCTGGTCTGGTCTGGAAGACTTTAACTGTTGAGCGCTGCTAGCTTATTATTCACATGTCATCAGTGGTTTGGCATACCGTTCTGTTTAATAATATTCAGTACAGTTCCTCTATTCCATGACTTATTATTTTACTGGCTTTTACTTTATTGAACTCAAAGGTCTACTGTGAAACTGTTCAACCGTGTTACAGGCTTGCTGTGTATACTATGGCAGTATGTGGCACGTGGATGGTTAGCATTACACTGATGTAAAGCTCTCTCTCTCTCTCTCTAACGCTCCCTCTCGTTCTCTCTCTCTCTCTCCGGGCATCAGTGGAAAAGTTCATCTGAGGACACGAATGGTACTGTTTATGAGTTGGCTGGCAGGTCCGTGCTCCAATCAGATGGTTAATATTTTGAATGGCAGGCCATGCTCCAATCAGATGGTTTATATTTTGACTGACAGGTCTGTGCTCCAATCAGATGGTTTATATTTTGACTGACAGGTATGTGCTCCAATCAGATGTGACACCTCCTCCCACCTACTCTAGCTGGGCTGGGTGCCTCAGGTTGTCTCATATAACAGCATCTGAACCCCAGCCATTTATTAGACTCAGTCCCCGTCTCCTCTCAGACGGATGGCATACATGTCCTTCTATCAGAGGTACAGTAAACATACATTGATGTAATGTATATTTATTAAAGTCATGCTATACACATTTTCACATTTTATAGAGATGTGATGTTCTTTGACTACTCTGATATATTTTATATGAATTACAGTCATGCTATATGCATATTAACCGGTTAATACCCATCATAACAATACACATGGTGTTCCAAGATTGCATATTTATCTAAGATGTTCCAAGATGGCGTAGCAGTGCGGTCGTGTACTCTGTGTGTGTCCGTGTAAATAGCCTGTTTTTTTATTTTTTATTTAATTTTTCGTACATATTTCCCTGGCACCCGCCCACCCGACTAGAATCACCACTCTCGACGGGTCTGACCTAGAGTATGTGGACAACTACAAATACCTAGGTGTCTGTTTAGACTGTAAACTCAACTTCCAGACTCACATAAAGAATCTCCAATCCAAAGTGAAATCTAGAATCGGCTTCCTATTTCGCAATAAAGCCTCCTTCACTCATGCTGCCAAACATGCCCTCGTAAAACTGACTATTCTACCGATCCTTGACTTCGGCGATGTAATTTACAAAATAGCCTCCAACACTCTACTCAGCAAATTGGATGTAGTCTATCACAGTGCCATCCGTTTTGTCTCCAAAGCCCCATACACTACCCACCACTGTGACCTGTACGCTCTTGTTGGCTGGTCCTCACTACATGTTTGTCGTCAAACCCACTGTCACACCCTGGCTCTGGGACTCTATTTGTTGAGCCAGGGTGTGTTTATTCTATGTGTTATATTTCTATGTTGGGGGGTTCTAGTTTGTCATTTTCTATGTTGGCCTGAGTGACTCCCAATCAGAGGCAACGAGTGTCAGCTGTTTGCTGGTTGTCTCTGATTGGGAGCCATATTTAAACTGTCGGTTTTCCTTTGTGTTTTGTGGGTTCTTGTTTCGAGTTGGTTGTGTTATACCGTGTACTGTCACGTTTCCGTCTTTTGTTGTTTTGATATCGTTTCGCTTAATAAATGAGTATGTTTGCCTGCAACGCTGCGCCTTGGTCTACTCCTTACCCTGACGATCGTGACAGAAGAACCCACCATAAAAGGACCAAGCAGCGTGTCCAGGAGCAGGCAGACTGGACATGGGAGGAAGCGCCAGGTAAAGAGATGGAGAGGTTGGCGATGGCCCAGGTGGGCAAATCGTGGTCCTGGGAGGACATGCTCGGGGGCAAGGGACCTTGGGGTAGGATTAAGGCCCTGGCAAGAGAGGAGCAGCGGCGTCAGCAGTGTCATCGTCGGAAGGACGAGAGGCAACCCCAAAAAAATTTTAGGGGGGGGCACACGGCATGGGCGGCTGGGCAGCAGGAGGCTGCCACATGGCGATTTGGAGAGGAGGCCACCGGGTTTGGGGGGCCAGAAGGCAGGTTGGCGGAGCCTGGATGGAGAGCAGAACCAACTTCCCGTGCTCAGGCATGGCAGCATGGGACGGGGCAGGTTCCGCGGTATGCGGAGCGGCGTACTGTGCCACGAGTGGTCCGGCATAGTCCTGTACGTCCTGTGCGAGCACCCCGCACGTGTCGTGCGAAGGTGGGTATGCAGCCAGGACGGAGTGTGCCGGCTCAACGCTCGTGGTCTCCAATGCCTCTCCGCGGGTCCCGGATATCCTGCTCCAGTGTCACGTGCTGTTATGCCAGTACGGGTACACAGCCCTGTACGTCCTGTGCGGATGCCTCACACAGAGTGTGTGAGGGTAGGCATTCAGCCAGGACGGGTGGTGGCCGCTCTTCACTCCAGGTCTCCTATCCGTCTCCACAGCCTGGTTCGGCCTGTCCCTGCTCCACGCACCAAGCCTACGGTGTGCGTCGCCAGCCCAGCCCGGCCTGTTCCTGCTCCACGCACCAAGCCTACGGGGTGCGTCGCCAGCCCAGCCCGGCCTGTCCCTGCTCCACGCACCAAGCCTACGGGGTGCGTCGCCAGCCCAGCCCGGCCTGTCCCTGCTCCACGCACCAAGCCTACGGGGTGCGTCGCCAGCCCAGCCCGGCCTGTCCCTGCTCCACGCACCAAACCTAGGGTGTGCGTCGCCAGCCCGGCCCGGCCTGTTCCTGCCACTCGCACCAAACCTACGGTGCGCGTCGCCAGCCCGGCCCGGCCTGTTCCTGCCACTCGCACCAAGCCTACGGTGTGCGTCGCCAGCCCGGCCCGGCCTGTTCCTGCCACTCGCACCAAGCCAGGGGTGCGAGTCGTCAGCCTGGTCCAGCCTGTTCCTGCCACTCGCACCAAGCCAGGGGTGCGAGTCGTCAGTCCGGTGAGGCCCGTTCCGGCTCCACGCACCAAGCCAGGGGTGCGAGTCGTCAGTCCGGTGAGGCCCGTTCCGGCTCCACGCACCAAGCCAGGGGTGCGAGTCATCAGTCCGGTGAGGCCCGTTCCGGCTCCACGCACAAAGCCAGGGGTGCGAGTCGTCAGCCCGGTCCGGCCAGTTGCTACTCCACGCACCAAGCCAGGGGTGCGCATCGTCAGCCCGGTCCGGTCCATTCCTGCTCCACGCACCAAGCCAGGGGTGTGTATCGTCAGCCCGGTCCGGTCCGTTCCTGCTCCACGCACCAAGCCAGGGGTACGTGTCGTCAGTCCGGCTCCGGCCAGCGGGGCTAGACCGGACCAGGGGCGCTATGGGGGGTTGATTGGAGGGTGGTGGGCAAGGCCGGAGCCAGAACCGCCGCCGAGGAGGTATGCCCACCCAGCCCTCCCCTGTTTAGCTCTTATTGAGGCGCGGTCGCAGTCCGCGCCTTTAGGGGGGGGGTACTGTCACACCCTGGCTCTGGGACTCTATTTGTTGAGCCAGGGTGTGTTTATTCTATGTGTTATATTTCTATGTTGGGGGGTTCTAGTTTGTCATTTTCTATGTTGGCCTGAGTGACTCCCAATCAGAGGCAACGAGTGTCAGCTGTTTGCTGGTTGTCTCTGATTGGGAGCCATATTTAAACTGTCGGTTTTCCTTTGTGTTTTGTGGGTTCTTGTTTCGAGTTGGTTGTGTTATACCGTGTACTGTCACGTTTCCGTCTTTTGTTGTTTTGATATCGTTTCGCTTAATAAATGAGTATGTTTGCCTGCAACGCTGCGCCTTGGTCTACTCCTTACCCTGACGATCGTGACACCCACTGGCTCCAGGCCATCTATAAATCACTGCTAGGCAAATCCCCGCCTTATCTTAGCTCATTGGTCACCATAGCAGCACCCACCCGTAGTCTACGCTCCAGCAGGTATATCTCACTGGTCATTCCCAAAGCCAACACCTCCTTTGGCCGCCATTCCTTCCAGTTCTCTGCTGCCAATGACTGGAACAAATTGCAAAAATCTCTGAAGCTGGAGACTCTTATCTCCCTCAATAACTTTAAGCATCAGTTGTTAGAGCACCTTACCGATCACTGCACCTGTACACAGCCCATCTGAAATTAGCCCACCCAACTACCTCATCCCTATATTGTTATTTATTTTGCTCTTTTGCACCCCAGTATCTCTATTTGCACATAATCTCTTGCACATCTAGCATTCCAGTGTAAATACTATTGTAATTATTCTGCACTATAGCCTATTTATTGCCTTACCTCCATAACTTGCTACATTTGCACACACTGTATATATATTTTCTGTTGTATTTCTGACTTTATGTTTTTTACCCCATATCTAACTCTGTGTTGTTTTTATTGCACTACTTTGCTTTATCTTGGCCAGGTCGCAGTTGTAAATGAGAACCTGTTCTCAACTGGCTTACCTGGTTAAATAAAGGTGAAATAAAAAAATTAAAAAATCACACTTCTACTAAATATACTTTCCTGCAACCCACCTCACTCAATGTGGAACGGATTCTATTATTGACTTACCTTTTATCTAGAATCTCCAGTTGAAACTAGCTAGCCAGCTAACTAGCTACTTGCTATTAGCCACCGTTAGCGGTTTTCACCCAGAACATCGGATTTTCTGCCGGAATAACTGAATCACTGGACATTAACACCGGATCGCAACTAGCTAGCCGCAACCGAATGGATGTTGCTGTTGGCTAATCACCACTGCCCCCGAAGCAAGCACCAGTTAGCCTTGAGCTAGCCTCGAGCCAGGCCCATATCCCGGCTATCTACCTCTCTGTCTACCGGACAGGAGTAGGCAGCTAACTAGCTACTTGCTATTAGCCACCGTTAGCGGTTTTTCACCATTGTCCGTGGCCTGCACTACCTAACAGCCAACTCTAGCCTGGACTATTATCGGCCAGTCTGCACTGTCTGCACAGCGCGTTATCGACCCAGAACATATCAGTTTTTCTGCCGGAATCACTGAATCACTGGACCTTTAACTCTGGATCATCGCAACTAGCTAGCTGTAACCAAATGGATGTTGTTGTTGGCTAATCAGCCTTGAGCTAGCCTCGAGTAAGGCCCATCTCCCGGCTATCTACCTCTCTGTCAACCGGACGGGACCTCCTAGAGTCGACACGGAGCCCCGCCGATCCATCACGACTGGTCTGCCGACGTAATCGTCTGTGGTTTCAACAGGCTTCCCGTTGCGACGACCACGAAGATCCATCTGCTACCCCCGGCCCGCTAGCACACGCAAACAACAGCCGTGCTTCCTGCTAGCCTGTGCTGTTGCACCAATTCTAACTGCTCTCGGACTCACATATTGCTGTTCACTGGACCTTATGATCACTCAGCTGCACAGCTGATGCCTGCTGGACTGTACCTTTACACGGTACCCTGTCCTGTTTATCTGTTTAGCCTCAGCCCAAACTTTCATCGCCATTACCAGTTGTTGTCTTAGCTCTCTCAAATAACACCTGTGATTGCTTTATGCCCCTCTCCCATGTCAATATGCCTTGCTTATTGCTGTTCCAGTTAGTTCTTATTATACAATTTCACTGTAAAGCCCTCTCAAACTGCCTCAAATAGCTCCTTTGTTCCACCCCCCATACACGCGGAGACCGACTCAATCGGTGCCTCCAGTGATGCTATCTCTTTCATTGTTACCCAACGCTTAGGTTTACCTCCACTGTACTCATATCCTTCCATATCCTTGTCTGTACATAATGCCCTGAATCTATTCTACAACGCCCAGAAATCTGCCCCCTTTACTCTCTGTACCCAACGCACTAGAAGACCAGTTCTTAAAGCCTTTAGCCATATCCTTATTCTAGTCCTCCTCTGTTCCTCTGGTGATGAAGAGGTTAACCCTGCAGCCCCCAGTATCCCCAGGAGCTATCATTTGTTGACTTCTGTAACCGTAAAAGCATTGGTTTTTTGCATGTTAACATCAGAAGCCTCCTCCCTAAGTTTGAGTTATTCACTGCGTTAGCACACTCCGTCAACCCTGATGTTCTAGCAGTGTCTGTATCCTGGCTTAGGAAGGCCACCAAAAATTCAGAAATGTCCATCCCCAACTACAACATTTTCCGTCTAGATAGAACTGCCAAAGGGGGTGGAGTTGCAATCTACTGTAGAGATAGCCTGCAGAGCTCTATCATACTATCCAGGTCTGTGCCCAAACAGTTTGAGCTCCTACTTCTAAAAATCCACCTTTCCAGAAATAAGTCTCTCACTGTTGCCACTTGCTACAGACCCCCCTCAGCCCCCAGCTGTGCCCTGGACACCATATGTGAATTGATTGCCCCCCATCTATCCTCAGAGTTCGTACTGCTTGGTGACCTAAACTGGGATATGCTTAACACCCCGGCCATCCTACAATCCAAACTAGATGCCCTCAATCTCAAGGAACCTACCAGGTACAACCCTAAATCCATAAACATGGGCACCCTTATAGATATCATCCTGACTAACTTACCCTCTAAATACACCTCCGCTGTCTTCAACCAGGATCTCAGCGATCACTGCCTTATTGCCTGCGTCCGTAACGGGTCCGCGGTCAAACGACCACCCCTCATCACTGTCAAACGCTCCCTAAAACACTTTAGCGAGCAGGCCTTCCTAATTGACCTGGCCCAAGTATTCTGGATGGATATCGATCTCATTCCGTCAGTAGAGGATGCCTGGTTGTTCTTTAAAAGTGCTTTCCTCTCAATCTTAAATAAGCATGCCCCATTCAAAAAATGCAGAACTAAGAACAGATATAGCCCCTGGTTCTCCTCAGACTTGACTGCCCTTGACCAGCACAAAAACATCCTGTGGCGTACTGCATTAGCATCGAATAGCCCCCGCGATATGCAACTTTTCAGGGAAGTTAGGAACCAATATACACAAGCAGTTAGGAAAGCAAAGGCTAGCTTTTTCAAACAGAAATTTGCATCCTGTAGCACTAACTCCAAAAAGTTTTGGGACACTGTAAAATCCATGGAGAATAAGAGCACCTCCTCCCAGCTGCCCACTGCACTGAGGCTAGGAAACACTATCACCACCGATAAATCTACAATAATCGAGAATTTCAACAAGCATTTTGCTACGGCTGGCCATGCTTTCCACCTGGCTACCACTACCCCGGTCACCAGCTCTGTACCCTTCGCTGCAACTTGCCCATGCCCCCCCCCCCCCACTTCTCCTTCACACAAATTCAGACAGCTGATGTTCTGAAAGAGCTGCAAAATCTGGACCCCTACAAATCATCTGAGCTAGACAATCGGGACCCTTTCTTTCTAAAATTAGCCACCGAAATTGTCGCAACCCCTATTACTAGCCTGTTCAACCTCTCTTTCGTAATGTCTGAGATCCCCAGAGATTGGAAAGCTGCCGCAGACATCCCCCTCTTCAAAGGGGGTGACACTCTAGATCCAAACTGTAACAGACCTATATCATTACATTTTTACATTTTAGTCATTTAGCAGACGCTCTTAACCAGAGCGACTTACAGGAGCAATTAGGGTTAAGTGCCTTGCTTAAGGGCACATCGACAGATTTTTCACCTAGTCGGCTCGGGGATTAGAACCAGCGACCTTTCGGTTACTGGCACAATGCTCTTACCCACTAAGCTACCTGCCGCCCTGCCATCCTGCCCTGCCTTAAGTTTTTGAAAGCCAAGTTAACAAACAGCTCACCGACCATTTCGAATCACACCGTACCTTCTCCGCTATACAATCCGGTTTCCGAGCTGGTCATGGGTGCACCTCAGCCACGCTCAAGGTCCTAAACGATATTATAACCGCGATCGATAATAGACAGTACTGTGCAGCCGTCTTCATCGACCTGGCCAAGGCTTTCGACTCTGTCAACCACCGCATTCTTATTGGCAGACCAAATAGCCTTGGTTTCTCAAATGACTGCCTCGCCTGGTTCACCAACTACTTCTCAGATAGAGTTCAATGTGTCAAATCGGAGGGCCTGTTGTCTGGACCTATGGCAGTCTCTATGGGGGTGCCACAGGGTTCAATTCTTGGGCCGACTCTTTTCTCTGTGTATATCAATGATGTCGCTCTTGCTGCTGGTGATTCTCAGATCCACCTCTACGCAGACGACACCATTTTGTATACATCTGGCCCTTTATTGGACACTGTGTTAACAAACCTCCAAACGAGCTTCAATGCCATACAACACTCCTTCCAAGCCTCCAACTGCTCTTAAACCCAAGTAAAACTAAATGCATGCTCTTCAATCGAACGCTGCTGGCACCAGCCCACCCGACTAGAATCACTACTCTCGACGGTTCTGACCTAGAGTATGTGGACTACAAATACCTAGGTGTCTGGTTAGACTGTAAACTCTCCTTCCAGACTCACATTAAGCATCTCCA